GAATTTCATTTCAAGATGAATTTTATTTTAGATAACGTGTTACGGTTCCGTGTGAATGCAACGAATGGTACTAATTGAATGGGTTAGAATCATAGTGCTGCAAGTCACATTTTCCTCGTTCAGAGAAACAAAGAGTGTTATTGTTTACTAACATGTGTATTGTTTGAACAAATTTATCCTTGAGGTTTATTCTTAAGGCAATGTAATATTTATAGGAACTTCATAATTTATTCCACGTTTATTTTTAACACGTTAGCATGTACAGGCTACGTTTTGAAACATAAGTGAAACTTTTCGGAAATGTGACTCACGCCACTGTCATTCTAACGCGAATGAATTGAATCGTTTCGAGCTGCGTCAAATTCTGAATGGAATGATCTTGCCTGATCATTCAGTATTTCGCGAATGAGGTTGTAAATTCTGATAACCATGCGAACTCTTCAAGGTTCGACGTTTGAATCGCAGCCGCGACGTTCGAGGCAACACATGCGACAAATTAATTTTAACGTGACAGCGATATAAAAACAGCCATTCATCGTTTTCGGAGAAGAATACGCGGCTTCTGTTTGTTTCTATACTGTCGAAGTTTAGTTTGATAATGAAGCATTCTAACGAATTGCGTACGAAGACCGGTTTCTAGAAAGGCGATTCTACGAAACAATGATTAAGAATGATGATATTTTCTCGTGAATCAAGAATAACTAACGCTTGTCGAGCGTATAATATTTTACATTTTCTGTTTGATTGAATTATTATAGTATTGTATTTATATTGCTGTCAATTACGTTGATAAACAAAGCTTGTGTTAGCATCAACTTTATTTGATTTACTGTTCAGAATCCGGATAAGTTAAAAGATGCAGGAATGAAAAGAGCATTCTCTATTCCTCTATTCCTCCTCTATTCCTCCTTTTACAGAGGTAAAAGGGTTGCAAATTGGTGTCTTCCGAATATAGAGAAATGTAATGAGTCTGATCTTGATTTTTCTGCGAAATCTGCTTTTTTAATATAATTTACCTGCAGAATCTATTCACATAGAACACTGCTTATTGTACAAATCAGTAAATATTTCATACAACTGTGACAAGTAACTGCTCCATTATCCGAACACTCGCATTTATTCTATTAAAAATGGCACCGTTAAATTCTCGGATTAAATTCACAGATATAAAAAAAAATAAATAAATAAAAGCAATGTAAAATGTGAATTAAAGTGGATTACGTACTACGAAAATTGCTTAAACATTCAAGATGACAGAGAGAGAGGTACCGGTATTCTAAAGCACTTGTTCACAAATGAAAAGAGTTATATTTATTTTCGCGTTTAACTATTCATTTTTGTTCTGTTATAAATGTATATAAAATCGGTGGTCCAGTTATTACAATCCAGGTAGAAAAGTAAACGAAGACCATTAAGGAAATTATTAAAGAGCGACAAATGCTGATCGACGTAGCTGGGGAAGAAATCGTAACGCAATGGCTCGACAATGAACAAGTGTACGCAACATTCGCCACGATTTCCTCGAACTGTCCCAAAAGAAGAGTCAGCAGATCGCGGAAAATTATCGGACAATTATGTCGGTGATCAATCCGGTTCGTTCGCGCGACACGATCGCGATCGGAGAGCCTAATCCGCGGCGCTCCTAAGGGGAAAAAGTCTGCCATTTTCGGGGACGCGATGCGATTTAATCGAACGTCGAAAAGGTTAATTGAAATTTCAAACAGGTCCGCGTGCATGATAACAGCGGGCAGTCGGTTCGAGGCTTGTTGACGTCTCCTGACGGAGAGTATTTCAATTTTTCCGTCGTTCCGCAGCACGCGTGGAACGTGGTCAGTGTGTGCGCATTGCATCAGAGTGGGAGAGGTGCGCGACCCCCGGGTTATCACTAGTCTCTCTGACATACCTATATCAATCCTAGCTTCGTTTCACGTATCGCGCTTTGAAGCGTTGCGCAGGAGAGAGAGCCCGCGAGAGCCGCTCGGATTTCTACGCGCGATAATTTTATGACCGGGGCCGCCGCTTTTATGAAAAACTTTATCATCGTCCACGATGTTGCGTCACGAGTGCTCGATTGGAACGTGGATCGCGAACCGTGGATCCTCGGAAGATCTATGCGGCACCGATCTTAGGAACTTCGCCCGTTTTCCCGAAATTTTGTCGCTTCGTTTTTCCACGGTTTCGAAACTACGCTGGATTCTTGGAAAAATTCCGAGACAAAAATTCTATTCTTTGCATAGTCGAATAGGGCAAGCGCGTCAATTGCTATATTAACACTAAACCTACCAAGCAGCAATACTAACTGGCACTGCTACACGAAAGTGAGAAGACCGAATTTATTTAGAATTTATAAAGTTTATATTATAAACCACTTGCATCAATAATATATATATATATATATTATATATTATTATATATTATTAATATATAATATATATATTATAATAATAATATAATAATATATATATTATAATAATAATATAATAATATATATATTATTAATATATAATATATATATTATAATAATAATATAATAATATATATATTATTAATATATAATATATATATATATATTTAGTATATATATATATAAACTTG